CAATGCGCAACGGATGGCTGCAGGCGCTAAATAATGGCACGCTGCGCAGATCCCATCTTGAAGGGCGAGGGTACCATCCAAACAGTGGGATAAATAACCCCGCTACAATTCGTTCATTCATTTCTAGAGTAATCTGGCACTAGCACATATCAAGGAATCAGATCGTCATCAGTAAATTAACCGGGAATTTCAAATGAACTTTTAAAATGCACCTCCTGAGAAGCCAGTGCTGGGATTCACTGCTATATTGCACCGCCACTGACCATAAACCGTAGCAAAATAATAATGTCCCACTGGTGCAGGTGGCAACAACGCAGCCTTAGCTTTAGCCAATCCCCTGGAACGTGCCAAGCAGCATACCAAGCAAGTTACTCCACGCATCTGGTACCTATTCTAAAAGAATAAACTCAGTCAATGCCTGACAAGTTTTTATTTTTATGTAACAGAATTGTAATTTCAGACCTGTCTCTCGGAGGGTACACAGTCCAAGCACAATGCTGCACGGCAGACGGTCAGAAGTTTACCGCTAATGACATGAAGCACGCACGCCATCGCTGCCTCCACCTGAAACAACAACTGGTCACACCAGCAATTATCTGGTCGGTTAATAGGAAAACACTCTTGACGTAACAGCAGTTGAATTAGTTAAAAAGAAATAAAAATAGAGCAGGAAAAGGCTCAGAAATAAGACGGTGAGGAGAGTTATCATTAATAAGTCGGTTATGGTGATCACTCGATTGGAAGAACAGGCTAACTGCTAGCCTAATAATGGAAGGAGAACGGGATCAGTTGGAAGACGAGGTGGGGGAGCAAGAAGAAAAAAGACTGTAATCGTCTGTTCTGTAACTTCGAAATTTATATCTCTGCTCGTGTTTCACCCCTAAATCGGTGCGAGGGTTGGGAGCGGGGAGGAGGGGGAGGGGGTTGGCTGCAGGGGAAGGAGGGGATCAACAGTACAGTCCTTATCTCACAACTGATAGTCACAGGCGCGGCACACTCACTTTCGATAACGGCCCCCAACTTGGAAACTTTCCTACAGCTGAGATAGTGTTGACACGTGGAAGTGCCAATTAATCAGCAAAAAAATCAGTGAATTTCCTCTGCTAGCGGCCTGAGAAGCGTTGGACCTGATGGGCTATTGCACCAGCTGGCGAATCAAGTCCTCCATGATTCATTCATTCATTTTCTTGAGCATGAAGAAGTGACAAACCCGCCGCCCCGATCTCCTTCTAAACAATCCTCGAAGGCAGCGGTCGGCAGCACTGCTAGGAGTGACTTGCTAATAACTGAGCTAATTCCGAGGAAGTGTCGTGAACGGAGCCCTTTCGCCAAAAACTGGACCGGGACGGAATCGAACCACTCGCTCTCATGTCCGGACGCAATGTGTTACCACTACACTACCGACCCTTGTGCTGCATGTTCAGACTGGCAGCACATCTACTGTGTATCTGCCTTTCGAAGTAAGATATACCTTTCTTTTCTTCTTTTTTCCCCTGTGGCGGCTTCTTGGCCGGCTTTTCGCGAGTTCTCCGCGACAGGAGATGCCACCGCGAGAGATCGACTGTGAAGCAAGGGTGCTCTGCCTGTTGCTTCTCAAGTCTCTAATCCCTTCAGCGAGGGCACTGATATGTAAGTGTAAGCAGTTATTTCAAATTTACGCTTACCTCTCCGTACGTTGTATAGCAGACGAATGCATAATTCGAGACTGTTGTTGTAGAATCAGCGCTGAGGAACACCTTTCGTACGGTGCCCCACCGGGAGAAGTATGAGATGATCTCTTGCACAGTGGTGATCGGCAAAAGCCCCACAACAAGCAGTTTCCTGGTCCGAAGAGTCCATAGCTCGTTCCTCGCTTCAGCCTGTGCCTGCGCTGACGCCAATGCATGCTATAAGAGCAATGCATCAAAAATTGACAACTAATGTATAGTGGGCACATTTGCTAAGGTAATAAACAGTTTGGGAGTAACACAAAACTGCGAAACACGTCAAAATTAAAAAGTAAACAATGGGATAACAGTAACTGATAGTTAAGTGATAAAGTAATTCCTCACTGCGTATTGTCCATCCATTACTACAAAAGTGAGACTGAATGAATGCAGATATCGAGATCCTCTCTTTCTCTCTAGGAACAGGTGCTCCAATAGCAGAAGCGATAGCAGCAACTATTTGTATGCCCGCTAGTCCTTAACAGTAACTACAAATTAGTAGCAAATCTTATTAGTAACTGAAGCACTTCTAGCACCTCTCCCTCCTCCCCGTTCTCCACATACACACACAAACTTATTGGTTCAGTAACTAGCGGGGAACATTAGCGGGGCGTCAGAAAGTCATCGACAGTTTTGCCTGCTTGCAGACTGCTACCCCTCAAAATACTTTCCAGCGCAATCCTTCGAGAAATCATCGAAAAAAAGCTCTCTTGCAGCCTTGCTTTTTGATGATTTCACTACTCCCTGACTCATCCTCGATTCAAGTTTCACATAATGCCTTGCCCTAATTTAAAACTGGTTGAAAGCGTACTGGCTGTCGGTACGAGGATGCGTTTTTTTCACAGTTCCTCCGCAGGCTTTTTTCGTCAGTGGCACGTTCTTCCCAGCGGATGCTTCTAGTTAAAAGAATTGGGACTGGCCACCATGACTGTTAGAAATTATTACAATTACACCCAATCCATGCCCAAAAAATTCAGCGCTCTGGATGCTTCGGTTGCAGAGTTACGCCAAATTTTACGTGTTCGCACGTGAGTGGTGACGCTAATGCTTTCATCGCTCGTAGTTACTCAAATGCGGTCCTGGGTGGCGCTCAGAAAGTTTCAGCTATCCAGCTGCTCTGGTTGCAGAGTTCCATCAAATTTCACGTGTGTACACGTGGAACGTGCGGGAGACGTGAAAGTGATGTGTAAGTCGTTTTTGCGTGCATCTGGTAAAAAGCCACCGTTGGTTATGCTCAGACAGTTCAAGTCCTTTGGCTGGTTCAATTCTAAATTTACAAAGGCGCATGTGTGAAATTTTCACGTGTTCGTAAATGAGATACAGAAGAGCTGACAATTTACTTTCACGGGTACAACAGTGGGCGGCAAGTAACCCCACAAATGCAAAATTGCAGCTCTCTGCAGCTTATTGGTCAGCTTAAATCTGGAGTTGGCATGATGCCAGTTTAAACT